AATGTCCTCAGACCACTTCTCGTTTCTTTATCCACTCCTTGGAAATCTTTACCTCATTTCAGTTTCATTTATTATTCTTTGTTTAAAATATGTTATTTATTTATTTTTTTATTTTGAGAGAGAGAGAGAGAGAGAGAGAGAGGGGGGGGGGAGAAAGAGAGAGAGAGAGAGAGAAGGGAAGGGAGAGATAGAAACATCAATGAGAGAAGAACATCATCCATCAGTTGCCTCCTGCATATACCCCACGGTGAACCCAATGGTTGACCTCTTAGTTCTTGGGTCTATGCTCAACTGCTGAGCCACACCAGCCGGGCTCACTTACTATTCTAATAGGGGTAATCCCAAGCCTCCACTTGATCTCTATCTCAGCCCTGACTTATCTCTATTAGCTCCATTTTAACTTTTCAGCTGAACATCTCAGAAAGGTTAAAATTAGTGGTGGCAAGCAGGCTAAATAGCCATCACAGATGGTGATTAAAGAAAATTTGAATTTAAGGAAAAGGGGTTAGGGATGGAAATATCCAAAGGAAAGAGCTATACAGCACTGAGCCAAAAGGTATTGGGTCCAAGATAGCAGCCAAAATGTACAGCAATAAGAAAGCCTAGGCCAGGCTGTTCTGGCTCACTGAGAAGTCAGGGCCTTGGAGAGAAACAGGTTCAGGGAATTAGCTCAGGAGGACCTGCCACTCTCATTGCTCCCCTGATTGCAAGTCTCATGGGGTCCCTTAGAGGTTGGGGGATAGATGCCTGTTGGGGAAGGAGAGAAAAGGAATGGCAAAGGCATGCTCCTTGGAGGGAGAGTGCGCACTGTGTCCTTTGTCCTGAGTTATTGATCTCTCTCAGGTGGAAATCTTAGGGGAGTTTTCAGGGGAGGGCCTTAATAGAATATTCATCAGCTTTCCAGGTATGCTCTTTCAGGTTTGTGTTCTCCACTGATTGCTCAATGCCTCAGTAGTCAAAGTAGCTGGTCCTGAGGCAGCCATGTCTGAATTTGCTGCTTTACTGGGCTTGAACTGAAATATAACTGAGGCCTAGATGTTATCTTTAGAGAGAAATTTCAGAGGGTCTAAACAGCCTGACCAACAACGTGAAAGATCAGGCGTCCAAACCGAATGACAGCACTATGCTCGGGAAGGACAGGTTGCCCTGCGGGTGAGATTCTTGTTTTCCCTTGCTGGTGAGTTTCTGACCTGGCCCAATATCTGGATGCCACCTGCAACTTTTGATATCCCAAATATAGTTTCTTTCTTAACCTGTTTATTCTCTGGAATGCCCATTTCCTCTCTGCTATTCTCTCCTTCCCCCTCCCTCCACCCCCTGGTGTTTTAGGACATTGTCCAAAACCCTGTTCAAACAAGTTCTAGATCTACAAGTCATTTTTAAGTTCTTTTTCCACACAATTTCTGTCTACTCTCTTTTCATAGCATCTGCCCCCTCCTGTCCATTCCCATTGCCTTTGTAGCCTCTTGCTGGTATGTTAGTGTATAGTGCACTTGGCATGGCCATCTCCCACTTTCAATTTGCCATATTTACTGCAGCCAGGTGGTAGTGGAATTGCATCTTTTGTGGTGGCAGAGTATTAAAGCTATTGTTTAAGAAGAAAATTTCTTATTGTTAATATTACTCTTAAAAAATGCCTTATATTGCCAAAACCAGTTTGGCTCAGTGGATAGGGCGTCAGCCTGCGGACTGAAGGGTCCCAGGTTCGATTCCGATCAAGGGCATATACCTTGGTTGTGGACACATCCCCAGTGGGGGGTGTGCAGGGGGCAGCTGATCGATGATTCTCTTTCATCGATGTTTCTCTCTGTCCCTCACTCTTCCGCTCTGTAAAAAATCAATAAAATATACATTAAAAAATGCCTTTTATTGCTCATAAAGCAAAATCTACAGACATATTGCTTTTTAATAATTTAACATTGCCAGTTTTTCCTCCACTTTTGGAGCAGATCACTTTTCTTTTGTTGAATATCAGATTAAGTCATCTGCTTGGTTTTAGTGGCCCTCTAATATGAAAATGTTTCTTAATACACCTTAATTATTTTCTTTTAAAATATGAGGTTTTGTGTGTGTGTGTGTGTGTGTGTGTGTGTGTGTGTGTTTAACTCTCAGCACTAGTCTATTTGAATTCATGTTAGTTACTCATGAGTGTGATACAAATTCCCTGGAGTGTATAAAAGCACAGTTCTGATCCTGTTATTTCTGTGCTCAAAAACATCTAGTGGCTCTCCATTGCTTATCAGAAGTCCCATTTCTTCAGGCTTACACTTAAAACTGTGCATGATCTGGCTTCAACTCACTCATTTCATCCAGGTTCCATCCCAGAATGGAATGTCCCCACACATTCCCGTCTCCATCCACACTTTCTCTCACACGTCCCACCGGCGGATATAGCTTGTTCTTACTCCCTGTTTCTGCTGGATTCGGCCATTCTTCAAAGATCATCTCACATGCTGCCTCTCCTCAGATTCCTCTAACAGACTCTTCTCCAGCCCAGCTCAGCCAAAATCCTACTTCCTTTCCTGAACTGCAGTATGTCTTCATCTGTACTGAATTTATAGCAAGTATCATTTTCTGTCCAGAATTTTCATTTTTATTTACTTTTTGTTTGTGTATGAGTTGATCCTCAACCAGAGGATATTTTTTTCTTCCATTGATTCTTTATTTTTATTTTTATGTTTTAGAGAGAATGGAAGGGAGGGAAGTAGGAAGAAGGGGGAGAGAGAGAGAGAGAAGTGGGGGAGAGAAACAGGGATACATTAATCAGTTGCTTCCCACACTCGCCTGACTGGGGCCAGAATTGAATCTGCAACCCTTCAGTGCGAGGGCTGACACTCCAACCATTTAGCCACAACAGACATGTCTTTCTTTACCATGTTTTTCCATGTATAAGACACTATTTTTTTCTAAAATCATCAGACTGGAAATCAAGGGGCGTCTTATACATGGAAGTCAGCCAAGGAGGGAGCTGCACAGCGCATACCTTGTCAAACAGGCTTCCTCCAATCACGAGCCTTATTGTTACTGACCTCAGCTGATGAGGTAATTGGAGGTGGAGGTGGAAACTGTGCAGATGCAATAGGGACGGGAGTGTTCTGAGCCCATAAAGATGTCAAAAAATAAAAAGATAAATACAGATAAGCAATTGTCTTACTCAGCAAAATTCAAATTGAATGTAATCAGCTATGCAAAAGAGCATGGAAATAGAGCTGCAGAGAGACAATTTGGACCCCCTCCCACTGAGTGTATATCAGACAGTGGAGAAAACAGGAAGAACAACCCCTTAAGATGCCAAAAAAGAAGAAGACTGTAAGAGGAAATCCAGCAAAATGTTTGAAATATTGATTTCTTAATTGGGGTTGGAAAAGTGGGGGGCACCTTATACATGGGCGTGCCTTGTACATGGAAAAATATGTTAAGTTTTATGAGGCTGTTAAACACTATGGACTAGGTTAGTCCTTGGATCTTCTTTATATTTTTACTAGAGGTCTGGTACACAAAATTCATGCACCAGTAGGATCCCTAGGCCTGGCCAGCAATCAGGGATGATTGGGGCCTATTGGCTGCTGGCTGGGGTCTTCCTTCATTTGACACCATCCCCTGTTGGTCAGCACACATCATAGCAAGCATAGAACTCGCAGTCGAACTCCCGTGGGGCCAATTTGCCTATTACTCTTTTACGTATATAGATATTCTTTCACCATCTCCAACTTCAAGCACCTAGACAGTTCTCAACAAGTTTGAATGAATAAATAAGTAAAATAATGCAGCTTCCCAACCCTTCCCCATGCAAAAGAATGTCTCCCCATGTGCTGGAGTCTGGCAGTGCCCCAGAAGGTAGGACTCAGGACTCCAAAGAAGCAGCAAACTCTTCTTCATCCCAGTAGTGTCTCCAGCCTGGCAATGAATGAACCCAACAGGAAGGCAGATGGGCAAGAAGATATATGCAAATGCAAAACTCTTTGCTCTTTCTTACAAAGCAAAATAAACATTCTGTTTAGGGGAAGAAGAAGTAGAAGAAGAAGAAAAGAAAAAAAAAAGACCTGCAAATGTACAATACAATGGCTTTTTCATAGAAGGCTTCAGGAAATGCCAAGGTCTGTCATTGGGGTTGGAGACAGTTTGTTCCCATTGTGTAGAAAGAGATGGAAGACCTGCTGTTTTAAAGGATCAGGCACGTTTCAGTGCATCTCAAGTTCAGTGGGACTTTACCCTTTATGGAGAGGAAAATCCCCTCCCCGCCTTGTTTTTATCTCAAGGCTGAGGGGAAGCTCTGACTCCAGGAGTTCACTGGATATAACAGCCCTTAAATCTTTCCTGAGTCATACTTCCAAACCCCAGACATACAAATCTAGCTCTGCTCAGATGCGCAGTAAGATTTCAAAGGAAGGTCTACCGTTGACGACGATGGGAATGTCATATATTTCAGGACGGTCTGGGCGTAGGGGACCACAGGTTACTTGAGCCTGTCTTACATCTTTCAAGGGATAGGGCATCTTGATCTTTATTATGGACCTGCCAGAAAATGCAGTCTGCCAGAAGAGCAACAGAGGGGTCTTGACAGTGAATCTACACCCTCCGTGTTGACTTTAGACGAGAGGAGGGGACATAACCGCCCTGCACTCTTGTGAAATCTTAATGTACCGTGAGAAGTGCACGGCGTGGCCTGATGGACAGGGTTCAGGTGTGTCTTGTCGTTATGGAATCGTGCCCAGCCAGCGGCTTGCAAGGAGGGAAGGTGTTTTATTTTATGTTATTTTTTCTGCACAATTACTCAGGTGTCTTTTTCCTTGTGTCTCTTCTCCCTCCTGGCCGTGGGGCCCGGAATCACCTGGGTCCTAGAGAGCTCTCTCCCCCGCACGCACGTCTGGGCTGGGCCTCCTGCGGGCTCCCCCCTCTCCCCGCCCCCCCCCCCCCTTTTCCCTCTCTGGCCCCGCCTCCCCCCGCGCCCCGCAGCCAGCCAGCAGCGAGACAGCTGTGTTCAATCAGAAACCACTTACAACTCCAGACGGCTCCAACGGGAAACTTCCCCGGCGTGGAGCGCAGCTCCGCTTGCTCGGGCTCTCGTGAGCGTCCTCTCCTCGCCCGGCCCCCGCGGAGCGGATCTTCCTCGCCCCCCCCCGCCGCCCCCCCCGCCGCCCCAGGGGTGTGATCGGGAGCTGGACGAAGCCTCTGCTCCAGGGTGCAGTGTCTTGCCGGGAGGTGCCCGCCAGCCTGGTCATGGGGGTCGGCGAGACCCCGCACGGGTGGTGAGGCGGCGGCCGCGGGTGGCACTGCCCGGGGCCCGGCGGTGGGCGCGCGGGTCCCCGCGCCGGCTCGGCCGCTGCAGCAGCTGCGAGCGCGCCTCCCGCCCGGCCTCCCGCAGCCATGCCGCGCCCGTGAGCCCCGAGCCGGCTCCGCTCCGCTCCTCCTCGGCGGCGCGTTGGCATCCTTCCGCCAGGACTGCACCGCTCGTCCCGGGTGGAAATGGCTGTCTAGACCGGGATCTGCCAGAAGGGTCCAAAGCCGTGGAGACCGAGCCCGTGAAGCCTCACTCGCAGCCCCGAGACCTGGAGGAGGAGGAGCTCGGCTCTGAAAAGTGCAGACATGAATTCTGGAGTTGCCTTGAAATACGGAAACGACTCCTCGGCCGAGCTGAGCGAGGTAAGACGCAGCTGGGGTCGGGAGCTCTGGGCAATGGCTTTTCCAAACCCCCATTCCCCCAACCTCCAGCTTCTTAAATCTTCCCCAGCCCCATGCCGCACCCGCCTTGCACTCCCTTCGTGGAGGCAGCGCAATTAAAGATTAATAGATTTTCTAGATCGTGTTTTAACTTGTCGTGCTAACTCAGGAAATGACCTGAACTGGCTTGATGTGTTCCGTCTGAAACGAGCGGCGTGAAAAAGAAGCAAGCTCTCCCCACCACCCCGCCGAGGCGTGTTTACTCTCCGCGGTGTGGGTCCCCTGTCCCTTCCCACTCGTTCCCCCCAGTTTAGGTACAACACGCTCCTTTCCGTATCCACAAAATGCATGGGGATCCCCCGGCTGAGCTTGAACCAGCGGTAACTGATTTGGTGGGGCCGGGGAACTCGTGGGATTAGGAAATCTACCCCTGGGCTCCCAGGTGCGGTGCGTTTGGGTGCATCCAGGGAAGGTGGTCTGCGCGCGGCGGAGGAGGAGCAGGTCCGCGCTGGGGAGGGGCACGGGGAGGGAGCACATCAAAGCCGCTTAGAACTTTGTTTCCTGCCCGGGACTGGACTCCTGAGTCTTTGAGGCAAGAGCATTTGCAATAACTGGCTCTTACAGTAACATAGCCACTTGAGTGTTTGGGACCTTGATTTGAAATTGAAGGCTACATCAAACGGCATGCAAATATGGGAACGGTAAGATGCCTGCCCCCCCCCCCCCCCCAAGGTTTTGAATACCTGAAAAGTAGTGGTGGGAAACCCACAGAACTGGGAGCTCAGAAGAAAGTCTGAGCCGGTGTCTACAGCAGGAGGCTGGGTGGCTGTAGGACTTCCTCCTAGCGCCATCCCTGAGCCATTTCTGGGAGCAAAAGTAGAATAAATAGTCTGTGCTTCTTCAGAATGGCTGAAGAAAGGAAAAGGGGGGGGGGAGCGGGGTGAAGGCCGGTGTAAAAACAGCCGGAAGGCAGATAGAAGTGATGTCAGATTATTTACCGTGAAGGGAAAATGAAAGGCTTAAATCCTCACTCGGGGAGAGGGCTGGTGATGGGGAAGGAAGGGGATGTACACGGGAAACTCCATTAGGTCTGGGGCTGGTGTCCAGCGCCCCAGCCTGGCGTTCTAAGTGTCTTACTGCTGTGCTGTGCTGTGCCTAATGAGGTTTGGAAGAGCATTTTGAGGCGGTCCAATGAGTAGAGGCATTTCCTAACCCCTCTGCTTTCCTTGTGATGACGAAGTCTGGTGATGCAAAGGGTAGGGCTTAATTTAAAACGGAGGCAGAGGGAAAGGCCTGAAGACCTCAGTGACTTTTGCCAATTTTAAAGGCAGGGGCGGTTTTAGATCTAAAAAGAACCCAGGTCCTGCTCCATTACTAATGCCTTTGACTTATCTACTAAGGTCATTTAAAAACTAAAAAAAAACCCTGAAGGCATACTTCTTGCAGAGAGTCTTAGCCAGGCCCTCCACATTGTTTATTTCTACCTGGCAGCTTTCACACTTTCACCTGAAATGTGCTGCTCAATTACCTCTGTTGCAAAATGAATCAACAAGAGAGGGGAGGCCTGGGTTGACTTTAATAGAATTGGCAGGGTCAGGGAGTACATTAGATGAACTGAGAATCTGTAAAACCTAGGTGGGAGGTAATATTCTCCATCCTGTGTCTCGTGTGCCTCGTTTTCCACTCCTGAGAAAACCTGTGGCCAGTTGTAAGCTTTGAGGGCGCGCTGTGACCTCTGCATTAGCTGGAGCAATATTTCAGCATTATAAGGCATCGTTTTGTCCCTAAGGCAATAAACAAGTTTCTGCCCCAACCATATCCTTTACCAAATTTTCTTTCCTTTTTCTCAGTGTCTGCTCATTCATTGCTTGCCTTCTTTAAAGCCTTCTTAGTGACTTAGTTGCTCTCCCATCCCCCAATCCTAGTTTCCCTGCAGATTAAGTAATTGCAACAGATTGTTACGGTTGGGGGGGAGAAAGGGGGGAGTTGTTCATACCTTATGGACCCTAAATGTCATGGGCAATAGTCCCATGTTCTGTAATATCTGTAGATCAGTAATGATATGGACCCAGGAAGATTCTAATACAGTCATTTGTATTTCTCACTTTACCCTTGTTTCACAGTCTCTTCTCTTTGGTGTAAAGGAGAGTTTCTTCTTTTCACTGTAATTTTTCTCTTAAACACTGGTTTTGCTTTAAGATCTTGGGGGAGAGGGGGCAAAGTCTGTATCCTTTTTTTATGGTTGGCTCCTCCTCATCTGGAAGCAGAGCTAATAAAATCCCTGAGGGGCCCCTTGAATGCTATCTCTTATTGCCCAGGAGTCTCTACACTGCCTGGAGGTCACCATGGGGTCAGATTCAGCCCGATGTTCATCAGGCATTTCAGGGGCAGGAAAAACTCAAAGGGCTCAGCATTATTCTGAAACAAGAGGCCTTTCTTGTAGGCATTGACTTGTGAGCTTATCCCTTCTGCAAGGGTCCTCTAGCCAGAGGAGTCACTGACTTTTTGACAGTGTTGACACTGACTTCATAACATCCTGAATAAGGGTGACTTGAATCCATTTCTAGTTGTAATCTGCTGGATCTTCACGAGAGCAGCAAGCTTTGGTCAACAATTCAGGGGCTGACCTCTGCCTGCCCTGCTCCAGGAAAGCTTCCTTACCAGAGAGGAGGAGAGATTGGGGGTTAGGGATCACAGAGGAGACTGAGAGGGCTGGGTGTTGGGCAAGAGGTGTTTTGCATGTGTGAGAACTTTAAGATGCTGGAAAACAGGAAATTCATGAATGTGTTCCCGTTGTGTCTTTACTTGGAACAATAGCTGTTTAAGATCCTGTGAGGTGATTATAGGAGAGAGTAAAATGTCCTCTACCTATGGTCATTCAGTGCATTTTTATTTATCCATGACCACAAATGGCTTATGTCAAGTCTGAATACTTGAACCAAAACAAACTAGTCATTAACATTAACAAAGGTAATTCAAAAGGAAAATTTGAGAAGCATGAATTGGCTATTCTTTTTTTCTTTTCTTTTCTTAGCTGCCCCTATCAAAGACTCAGGATTTTTTTTTTTTTTTCTAATGGGGGGTTAAGGAAGGGCTTTAATATCAGCCAAATCGAAAGTACTTAGAAAATTAAGTGGTTGGCTTTCAGTCTCCCTCCAAGATCAAGAAGCTGACTGGACACACTGCCAGCAGCATTAGATTAAATTTTCCCAAACCTTGTCAAGGAAGACTCTTAAATCTCCTTCCTCAACTCTATGGGTTTTCAGTTGGCAGTTAATTCTGTTTAACTTGGTAAAACCTGTGAGACCAGTTTCACAATCACACCTCTTGGTCCTTAGAGTAATTCAGACTTTGGGAAGCATTATCAGAGTACGACTCGAATTTACTCATCTTTGCAGAATACCTGTCCACCCGATCTGCTTGTCGAACAGGCAGCTCTCCCTTTAAGTAGCAAAATAAAGAGTTATCTTGAAGAGTTTGTTCTTCTAAGTCAAGAAAGAGATTTTCAAGGTTTTCACAGATGTAGCTGAATAGCAAGATCTCAACAGAAAAGCTCCTATGATATTGCTGCATGAAATATGAATTTAATGTTGAAATGGAAACCGTTGTTGTTCTGATGTTTTGGATTTGTTTTGTAAGCATTCTTATATTCTCAGTTATCTTGAAAATCACAATGAGCTAAATAAACATTCTTTAAATTCCTGAAAGGGGGGGGGGGGGTTTCTTTCCTGGCAATCATGGAAACCACTAGGAATGAAAAAAATTATTTCCTAACGCAAAGAATACTTTGTTCGAAGCAATTAACTTACAGTTTTGCCTTTTAAATATTAAACAATGAACATGTAAAATTCTTCCATCACAATTTATTTTGAAACCTTAGTTGCCCTGGAAATTGTATTTCCCTAACTCTCTCCTCATCACATTATTCAAAGCCTCTTTCATAAGATTATTCCACACCTGAATATATGCTACAGAGGCGACTCCCAGCTTTCACCATTTGCTTGTTGAGTAGCTACTGAAACCCCATATCTTCACTGATATTCTAATTAAGAAGTTAGATTATATGGGAGAAAATTGCTCTCTAGATAGATTATCTCGTATGACTATCTCTAAGTGGCTATCTCACAGATGTACTTACTCTTTTTAGTCAAGTTACACAGAATCAGAGTCGGAAGGGCCTGTGAGATCGCCTAGTATCCCCACTCCCCGTTATACTTCTTCACCCTCCTCTGTTCCTATAGAATCACACTTCATTGCAGTGAGGTGTTCAATGTCTGTCTTAGCCACAGATGATAACCACCAGAAGGGCAGTATTAAGACCTGTCAGAGTCCTGCACATAGTAGGTGTTCTAGGAATATTTGATGAACACCTTGCCTCTTCTCTTTCCCTTTTTTTTAATTTTTTATAAACATAGAATTTGAAGAATTGATTTAAGAGGCTCTTTGGTTGTGTCACAAATTGCCCTCAAACTTAGAAATTTAAATGACTATCTTGTTTGCTCCTGATTTTGCAATTTGGGCAGAGTTCAAGGGGAAAGACCTGTGAACTGCAGCTGGAAGATCCGCTTCCAAACTGGCTCAATCACATGGCTGGCAAACCAGTGCTGGCTGTAGACCGAGATCACCTCAGTGCTCTTGGAAGTGGGCCTGCCCGTGTGGCTGCCTGGATTTCTTCTCTCTGTGGCAGGTGGGTGCCAAGAAGCAGGAGGTGGAAGCTGAAGGTGCTTTTAAAATGTAGGGCTGAACCGGCACCAGGTCACTTCTCCGT